AGGACGCACACTAAGGCATAAGGAGGAATAGTTCGCAAAACTGAGTGGAGTCAGCTCCCAATGGATTGTTGTAGCACAAAGTGATGCTCTTACAATATTAAAATCATAGAATATTTAAACTAGGAAGAGAATTTTACAGATTCTCTAGTCAATTATTTTCCATGAGATGAGGAAATCTAGGATACATAGAGATTCAATGGCTGGCATAAGGACATAAACAGTAGATAGTAGAATAAAAACCCAGATCCCCGATAAAACCCCCAGTTCAATGATGGGTAGCATAATATGATAGAGAAAATGCACCTATAAAAAACATGGCTAATACCTGCACTGCTCACTGTACAAGAATCCATGAGAACATCAATCTATAACCAAACCAAACGCACTGCCACTGAGTTGGAACCGACTCATAGCGACCACCAATCTTCTGGTTAGCAGTCAAATGCCTTAGGCACTACGCCACCAGAGTTCCTGGATCAATATATAAGGATCTGTAAATGCACAAGTGGGAGCTCTAGTAGTGTAGTGCCTAACGCACTGGACTGCAAACCAGAAGGCTGGCGGTTCAAACCCACCAGCCACTCTTTGGAAGGAAGATGAGGCAATCTACTTCAGTAGTGATACTGCCTCGGAAACCCAAGGAGGGGTCGTTAAGAGTCAGGTATGACTCGACAGCACTTAACAACAACAACAAATGCACAAGTATTGTGTCATGGGGACTTGGAGGAAAGTGGTTTCAAGGGGTAGCAGAACACCTCAGTGACATTACAGTAAAGACCACTATGTCTTGCCAGAAGGAATCACCTTCAAGAAAGCAGCAATCCAGAAGGAGGGTGAGGTAGAAGATACTTTTCAGAGAGTTACAGAGGAAATATGTGGATACATACTACCGGCAGCACATATCTGGCAACAGAAGGAGGAAAAGGATTTGTCTGTAGAGAGAAAGCTGCAGGACCAAGTAGATATTCAAAAGAAAGAAAATCTTAGTAACCTTGAAAGTGAAAAGGAAGAAACATAAAACCTGAAGATGATAGATGGGGGAGGGGCAGGCCAACTAATTGTGGACCAGCTGGAGGAAATAAGAAGGGTGGTGGGGAGATGAGTTCCAGAATAAGAATAAGCATTATTTCTCACTCACCATAAAATTCTCTCTCACTATAAAAAGAGTATACAATTTCAAGTTATTCATAAAAACTTACTGCCACCAAGTCAACTCCGACTCATAGAAACCCCCTTTGGGTTTCCAAAGTGGTAAATCTTTATGGAAGATTGCCCAGTCTTCCTTCTGTAGAGTGGCTGGTGGGTTTGAATCACCAACTTTCCAGTTAGCAGTCAAATGCTTTAGGCACTAGGCTACCAGAAAAATGGTAGATCAGGCTTTAGGAACAAGGTTAGGGGATTTTAGTCCAAAACAGCTTCAAAGTTTTACAAAATCTATCTACTTGGTCAACTAACATGGTTTGTAACCTCAAAGGGAGTTGTCATTTCATACTGTTAGTTTTACACCATAAATTTCAAGGGCATTCAATTGACAACAACCAACAGCTGGTATCAAACCAAACCAAACTCACTGCCACTGAGTCGAATCCAACTCATAGCGACCCCCACTGGGTTTCCGAGGCAGTAAATCTTTACGGGAGTAGATTGCACCATCTTCCTTCTGTGGAACAGCTGATGGGTTTGAACCACCAACATTCTGGTTAGCAGTCAGATGCATGCCACTGGAGCTCCTTTAGTTGGTATATGCTATTACAAACCAAAAATTTATTGTGTTTAACAAAAAAAAAAAAGTTTCTCTTTTTCACTTCTTGTATCCTGTTTTTACCTGTTCAGATATGGAAAATACAAGCTTAAATAAATATATGCACAACAAATCATTTCTGGATGCCTTGTTTTCAACTTCTTACACACACACACAAACTTCAAATAACCATTTTCCTTTACTCCATTTTAGAAATGAAGCCCTACAGGACTGATAGGGCACAGAACTAGGTGGGTCATGTGAACAGGTATGGTATGCCCAGACAGACATTCTTCCAAATAAAACAAGGTTCTCTCCAATTCGTTCAGAACTCAGTTAATTAGTCATATTTAAAGCAATTTCAATTTAGAAGTTTACTATTCAACACAATAAAGGCAGGCTAAGGAAATGCAGAAGATATGACTGATACAGTCAGCTTTCTGGGTGTCCATTTTTGGAACTGCCATTTCCCTGGTGAAGGACATAATTACTTTTAAAATCAGTAATAATCGCTCAACTTAGGCCATATATTAGGTTTAATTCCAATATTTCACCCACTTGGAAATAAGGACCTGAGCTCAAAATGTCAAGATGGAACACTGCTGCTCACTTATTTTAAATGGGTCTACCAAGTCACTGAGCAATACCCACTGGAGTACAATATGCCTGTTATCCACTTCTGCTTTAATCACTACAAATATCAGAAGTCCAACCAAAACATCAATTCAATCATAAACAGAATTGCTATCTTTAGATATGCACATGCTCTCTGGGAACTGAAATGTTTCAACATACCACACATCTTAAACTGGGATGAAAAGAAGCTCAACTCCCCCTGGGCCCAGTAAAACAAAGTTCAGGCAGTTATTTTCAAAATTCACAACTTTCAGCAATACTTGAAACATGTAACATTCTTATACAAGTATCTCTCATTAAATGGAGGTCTTTTCCCCCCAAAATAAAAAACGTAATATAAACTCTAACTATACTTAATGGATTATTAAAACAAATCCTATGGGATATTTCTCCAGTAGATTATCACCCTGATTTCCATCACTCAATACTCTGCAAAGTAAAGATCTCGTTATTCCGCTGTGTGACCTTGGGAAGTCACTTAACCTCTCTGTGCCTCAGTTTTCTCATTAAAAATACACAATCCCAACCATTAAGATGAACTCTAATTTGAATTAAGCATTTACTACTTCTATAATAAATGAACACGCATTATGTTTATCACGGAAAATGCTTACATTTGAGAGCTTTAACCTTGTAAGAGAAAAATGTGAGTGATAATCTGCCCTATGCAACTATCCCTTAATTACAACAAGGAATATGAGAAAATGCCTCTGTTTAAAAAACTTATCTCTTTACTTTATAACAGATGGTGGTGAGTTTGATTCCACAGTATACATGACAAAGCAAACAACAAAGCCTACGGTTTTTAACACCGTAGACAAGAGAAATATTTTTTTGCATCACTGGGCATATTATCAAAAATCATTCCTCTTTTAAAATTTAGAAAACTATCTTTTCTTATGTCACAGATAAACCTAGAGAGCAACAGGTAAGAAGCGAATAAAATTAAAAAAAAATAATTAGTATTTGGGAACAACAATTGTGATGTGAATCCTTTAAATTCCTACATCCAGACTTTGCTGCTGAACCTCTGGTGTTCTTGGGTACCCTTTAAATACATTTTTAATTTACACAGAGAAAGTCTTTTCTATCAAGTTTTAAATCTAATCCCTATCAATGATGCAATCTGTTATAAGCAGTAACATTTTACTTCGTTGGTTAAATTAGTAGCAGAGTTGGTTAGATGCCTTTTGGCCTGGAAGCAGGATGTGTGAAAATCCCTCCAAGCTCTGCTTTGCAATTCTCTTTTATTTATGTACTTTCTTCTCAACTTCCTCTGCCTATTCCCAAATATCTTCCAGGTAGGTCAAAAGCACTCTACGAGCCTTACAGGAAATGTTTAGGGATCAAATAAGTGAAGCCCCTCCCCACCCTACTCAGCTCTTCATAATCAGTTTTATTATTAAATCCGGTAAACAAAATTGATTGACTCAACCTTAAACAATTCCCTCATCACAGGAAGCCCACGGTAGAACTGCAACAGCAAACAAAAAGCATCCCTTTAAATCACCCCCAAGCACCTACAATAGCACGGTTTAACTAATTCCCACTGACAAAAGGCTGTGTGCATTTATTCCGACCAGACCCATTACTTAAGTGTGTGAAGCTCAGGGATTAAAAGTCACCTCCTCAAGCTATGAAACTTTTTTTCCCCCATTCCAAATATTCTCAATGAAAATTCTTAGTCAACCAAGAGAAAAGAGTTGAAAAAACAAAACACTAGGTGAATTATCAGGTACAGGACCACATCCCAGCTGTCTCTGTTTTCTGTTCTCAGCTCAGATACAGTTTCCCACTTTCCTTTCACCCTTCTCCTCTTACTCCCCATGATTCTCACACAAGAAAGCAATATTCACGTTCTCAGACCGCTGGCGAAATACTGGGAAACTACAAGTACCAAGGAAGGGAAAAATAGTTCAGAAGCAGGGGGAATGAGAACAACAGTTTCCACTGCAAATGGCAATGTGAAAGCTGGTCTTGTCTCATCGAGATATGGGAGGACGCCCGTGTGGGCTATCAAAAAGATGAGCAGTGTGTGTGCACTTGGGCCACGCTGAGGCGATGGAGCAGAAAGTCAGTAAGAACCTGTGCTTTCCCAGCTTCTACTCTTCCCCCACCAAGAGAGGAAGCTGAAGAGACGGGGGGAGGGGCGAGATGTTATCTTTCTCCTATTGGGGGTACACAAGGCAGGCCTTAGAGTTCCTTCAGTCACTCACCCCCAGTTAGGAGATGCACAGAGGGAGAGGGAACCCCAATCGTTACCCCGCACCGTTCAAAAAAAAAAAGTCATGGGGAGGCCTGATTAAATGGAAGTGGGAAGCACCTCCAGGTCACCATCCCTATTAGAAATCGGAAAGGCTGTGGATAAAGAGGATGAAGGGTCGGAGGGGTGGACAAGAAAATGGTCCCACCCCCCGACTTAGGAGGGAAGGGAAGCTGGAGCTACCAGCCGTCCCTCCTTCCCCGCACCTCCCCCCTTAGCCACCCTCACTCGTTTCCCCCCTTGCCTTCCTCCAGAGCCTGAGGCAGCCGCGGGGGAGGCGGCTGCTCCTTCCTCCCCTCACCCACACTCCATCCCTACCCCCACTCCGCTCCCACCTCCCGCCAGCCAAGGGCCCGTTACCTGCTCGTCGAAGCGGTTGACCACGGCCTGGATCCATTCCACCGGCCTGTGCGCGGCCATGTCCTCCCCGCGGCCGGGGGGCGGTGGAGGAACCAGTCGGCCGGCGCCCAGGGCCGGGAAGAGGGCGGGGAGCGGGGGCTGAGGTGAGGGAAGAAACGAGGAGAAGGTCTGAGGAGTGCAGGCTCCGAACGTTCCCACGGGGGTGGGGATGGGGGGTCTGCGCCGAGCCGGGAGGGGGAGAGGGGAAGGGGGCGTTGGCAAGGCGGCTGGGGGGAGGGGACGGGGGAAAGGGGGCCCGGGGAGGGGAGGGGGCCTCTTGGTCGCTCTCCCCACTAGCGCCGTCTCCCCACAGCCATCACAGTCCAAGACGCCGCCATGACACCCCACCGGAAGTGGGATCCTTTCCACGGCCCGGGGAGAGGGAGAGAGGCGAGCGAGAGATTGAGAGCGCGGCTGGGAAAGGGGAGGGGGAAGCGAGAGGGAAGGGGGCCTGTCGCGCATGCTCCCGCGCCAGCCGGTTTCATTAATGAAAAAGCGAGTCCTCCTGGAGGTGACGTCACCTCACTCCTCGGGCCCCGGAGGCGCGCGTCCCTCACCGCCTTGGGAGTCTCAGATCCGGGCGCTGGCCTCAGTCTGCGAGAGTCCGACTTGGCCCTGGTGCATCCGCTCCCATCCTATCTGCCACATCAGGCTCCCCTTCCCCCGCCGGCCTCTGGGTTTGCATTGCTCCCCGGGTTGGAAGTTACGGCGCCCTGAGGCTAGCATTTCTTCCAAAGCACTGATCTCTGCCGCTGCTCTCCCAGGAGTCTGGGCTGAGCCCTTCTCTGCCATAAGGGCTCACAAAAATTAAGGCACACAAACTCAGGTTTCCATATACTACGAGCTGCTGTAGACTGAAATGGGGAAAAGTAAGGCCAAGAGACATTCCGTGATTTTTTTTTTTTTTTAAGGTGGCATAAATCCTAATACCAGACCCCACCACGGGTAGTCAAAGTAATTAGACCCAGTAATCCGAGAGGCTAGACTTCCTCTGTTAAACTGATGTTGTTATGTGCCTTGAGTCCGACCGAGGTGGTATCACTACGGAAGTAGATTGCCCAACCTTCTTTCCGAGGAGTGGCTAGTGGGTTTGAACCACCAGCCTTCCGATTTGCAGTCCAGTGCCTTAGGCACTACGCTACCAGAGCTCCCGCTAAACTGATAGGCACCCAAATTAATAAAACTGTTGCACAGTTGATAATAGATTCAAGTTCTATTATCCTCGAGAAGCCTTTAAGGTCTTCACAAACGCAAACGCACTGTTGTCCAGTCCAATCCGACTCATAACGACCCCTCCTTGGGTTTCTGAGGCGGTGTCACTACGGAAGTAGATAGTCCAACCTTCCTTCTGAGGAGTGGCTGGTGGGTTTGAATCACCAGCCTTCTGGTTAGCAGTCAAATGCCTTAGGCACTATGCCAGCAGAGCTCCCAAGGTCTTCACACACGTTTTTAATTCAACAAATTCATTTCATTTAAATCTTCCAACCAACCCTCATTGTCTGCATCACTTTATTGAGTTGCCCAAGCAGAGTTGGTAGGTGGCAGAGCCCGGATGCAAACCCAGGTGGTTTGAATCCAAAGACAATGAATCCTTCTCACACCTGAGAGACAGCTTTTCTGAGACAAAGGAGCTACCTATGACCCAATACTGGAATTTGATGAATTCCATGTTGTTTTGGTTACCTAGTGCCTGCGCACTAACAGAGACGTTATACCACAGATGAAATGGCTTGAACAAACAGGAGTGTATTCTCTTAAAATTTTGGAGGCTTTAAATTCAAACTCAAAGTGCCAGGCTCTAGGGGCTGGGTGAAAGCCCCTCAACCTGGGGCTTCAGCTCTGCCTCCTGCTCCAGACCCACTGAAGCTGGAGGCTTTCCTTCACTCAGACAGCTGCTGGCTGCTGAGGCTAATAAGCACAAGGTTCAGAAGTAAAAGGCATAGTCCCAATGTTACCAAAAAACATGGCAGGCCGCTAATTCAAATCCAGAAGAAGTCCCAAGATCAGCAGGGCATGGCAGGCTGTTAAACAACAACTTGACTGCAGGTACAGTTCAAGTGTGCCATAAGCTGGAGCCCTTCCTGAAAGCTGCTTCTTATATACTGGAAGCAGACCACCTCCCTAAAGCAGCTACTCAGCTGCTCTAGGAGAGTCCACCACGGAGTTAATTACCTATCTCACCTTGGGAAATAACTACATCCAGCTGCCCAACCATTCAACCAGGTCCAGTCAAGTCAATAAACTACTAACATGTGGAATTGTTTACTATGATTTTCTAGGAAGAGAATGACATCCATAACAATGGATGATACCCTCTATCTGACATTGGGCTTTGGAATTATTTATTATTTCCCTCAATTCATTTTACTTAGGCTAATGTTAATACCAGAGCAGCAGGATCCAGGTAAGGGGTGGGAGACAAGGCAGGCCCCAGCCCCCTAGAGCCAGGAAAGGGAGGGAGCAGCCAGGGACCACAAAGTGGCAGGTTCCAGGCAGGATGTAGGTGAAGGGAGGGCGCAGAGGTTTCCAACAGCTAAGAGAGACAAACTTGTCTGTCAGTTTGTCATCCTGTGGGGCTTGTACGTTGCTGTGAGGCTTGAGACTATGCCACTGGTGTTTCAGACGCCAGCAGAGTTGCACATGGTACACAGGTTTCAACATAGCTTACAGACTAAGACAGACTAGGAAGAAGGAAGAGGCCACCCACTTCTCAAAATTTGGCCAGGGAAAACCTTATGAATAGCAGAGAAACACCATGTGATACATTACTGGGCAACTTCATGAATAGCTTGGAAACATTGTCAGACACAGTGCAGGAAGACCAGCGTTGGAAGGCCCTCAAAATAGGACTAGAAAAGAGCTGCCTCATCAGAGTAGAACCAACCTTAATGATATGGATAAAGTAAGTCTTTCAGGACCTCCATGTGCTGCCATGGTATGACTCAAATTGAGGAGAAACAGCTGCAAACATCCATTAATAATTGGAATGTGGTATATACAAAATATGAATCTAGGAAAACTGGAAATTGTCAAAAAAATGAAATGGAACGCATAAAGATTGATATGCTAGGCATTAGTGAGCTGAAATGTACCGGTTTTAGGCATTTTGAATCAGACAGCCATATGATCTACTATACCAGGACAAATTGAAGAGGAATGGTGTGGCATTCCTCATCACAAAGGATGTTTCAAGATCTGTCCTTAAGTACAATGGTGTCAGTGATAGGATAATATCCATATGTATACAAGGAAAACCCGTTAATATTACAATTATTCAAATTTATGCACCAACCACCAAAGTCAAAGATGAGGAAATGGAAGATTTTTATCAACTTCCACAGTCTGCAATTGACCAAACATGCAATCAAGATGTGTTGCTTATCGCTGGTGATTGGAATGCAAAAGTTGAAAACGAAGAATCACTGGTAGTTGGAAAATTTGGCCTTTGTGACAGAAATAACGCTGGAGATTGCATGACAGAATTTTGCAAGACCAACGACTTATTCATTGCAAATACCTTTTTCAACAACACAAACAGCAGCTATAGACATGGACTTCTCCAGATGGAGTACACAAGAATCAGATTGACTACATCTGTGGCAAGAGGAGATAGAAAAGCTCAATATTTTCAGCCAAAACAAGGCCAGAACTACCACTGTCAACCACTCAGAGGGGGATCTATGTAGGAGATCCTGGATAGAGAGGTAGAACAATGTGGAACAAAACTCAAAGTCATTTGGGGAAAAAAAAGGGGGAGACCAAGTTTGCTAGTCTGATAGAGCCTGGTGGAACCACTGAGACTATGGTCCCTAGCTGCCCTTCAGGTCTGGAATTGAACCCACACCTGTGGTTTCTAGCCAAATAAAAGACAGGATAAGAGTTGAACATGTACCTTAGGTAGATACATCCTTTGGAGAGAACAATCATGGGAGAAAGAAGGGCTGTTTATGCACAGGGAGACAGTTCATGGGGCAGGAGTGCATGGAGAGATGGACACAGGGAAGAGGTAACTATCGGGAGGAAATGGGAAG